AGGACTGTCCAGTCCAGTCCAGTCAGTCCGCTGAGGGTATACCCCAGCTACAGTTTGTTTGTTGATTCATTCTTCATCTGCACAGTTTAGAGTACGTGCATGTTGAGTCTTCGCCCAAGCTCCATTGTCCCTTCCAGCTCCATCTCCATCTCCATTTCCCTCATCCTCATCCCTTCGTCTTGATCCTAACGGACCGCCAACCCGGTGCGTCCGTCACACTGGTATCGGAGCAGGAATGGTCCCCCTTCCCACCCACCCACCCCATCCCGCAAGTGTGAAAAAATAGTGTAATCCCAATAGCGGGATTTTGGCCCTTTTTCAAAGCGAGAAGACGGGAAACGACGGGAAAAAGGAGCAGCGTCGAGTGACATACACATGGCAGGAAAAAAGAGCTCCATCACGATGCGTGCATGCCAAGGCCAAGGCCGCCGTAGGCGCACCACGTGCCCATGCTGCCTCACTGCCCCGCCCTGTCCCGCTCCTTGATTATATTATATCAATATCCTAGAGTGTAGCTGCCAGAGTTTGAACCTGGGTAGCTGCCAACCATGTGCGTGCGTAGCCAAAGACTTAGCACACTGCCCACACTCTATACACGTCTTTGTAGCCTAACACGTTGGTGTTGAAATGTGTCATGCCAGCTATTTACCCCCCCCCCCCCCCCCCCCCCCCCCCCCCCCCCCCCCCAACACGACAACAGCGGGTGGGCTGCTAATTGGTTCCCCCCTACCCGCGCCGTGGCTGGTGCTGCCTACTCACATGGTCGTCTGCAGTGCCACGTGGCAGCTTGCTGAAGACCTTGAAGCCCCCCTGGATAGAGGGCTGCACTACAGCAGGATCTGGGTGTCTGATCAAGATCTCTGAAAACCCAGACGATAGTTTGGCAGCAGTGAAGCCCCTCTAGCAAGGGGGGGGCCTGCGGAACTGTGCAATCAAGGTGGCCGATCAATATCTCAACCAACCCTAGATTATTTATATTATTATTTTTTTGTTGCAGCAGCAGGCTGCCAGAACCTTGCAGGCCTAGATCCAGTGGATCTTGGTGACCTTGACTGTTCTTCGCCAACCAAGAGCCTGATATCACTCCCTACTCACTTATCTACTTTCTCCCAACCCTTTTCTCTCTATCCACTCCACCCTTTAATCGTCTTTTCCTAACTCTACGACTAATCCCTCACTCTACCTCACCCTCCTCTCTTCTTTTCTCCACTTCTCTCCCATTTTTCCCACTGCTCTTTCATACCCCTCCCTCTCCACTATCTTTTACCCTCTTTTTCTCTCTTTTCCTCACTCACTCACTCTCTTCCACTAATCTTCGTTTCTCCTCCCCGCCTTTATACCTTCTCTCTCTCATTCTCTCACCCTCCTCTTCTTCTTTCTTCCTCCTACCACAACCCCATCATCCGCCTCACCCACCATCTCAAACTTTCTATATTCACTTTTCTCACCTTTTTCTCACCCTTGCCCCCCCAACTCCAAATTTTTCTTTTTTTCTTATTTTGTTATTTTTTATATATATATTTGAATAATATTTCCTTCTTTCTGCCAAAAAAATGAATAATCTTCTCACATCCTTTTTTTTTTTATTTTCTTGCTTTTTTTTTGTAATTATTCTCAAAATTCTTAGGTTACCATCCGAGTCGCCCGGGTCACCCAATTTTCCAGGGTGGTCCGACTGTGCAAGGACAAGGGAAGGTAGTAACCAAAAAAAAAAAAAAAACTATGGTATGCAGAAAAATAAACTGCACAACTTTTGTCGCAGGGTAACATCAAATTTTTTTACCATGTAATGAACCCAATCTAATAGATACTCAGAAGTCGTCAATCTCTCGTAGTTTCAATATCTGCATGAAAGTCTCCAGATCCTGAAGTGATATCTCAAACAGTAACTCATTATCAAAAGAGAAGAGAGTGGAGGGAGAATAGACAAAGGAGAGGAAGAGAGATCACACAGTAATAAACCCTTCAGATCCCTCTCCTTCTCCGGGCTTCTTCCCACACCACATCCTTAATGATAATAAGTATATTCTTGATCACACACAATAGTGTCGCGTGACACTTTATCTCATGAAGACTCCGAAGACACAACATATTTTCAGTGATGACGTCAACCTCAAGTGAGTGCCTGATTCCCTACATCCACAGATCCCGATCTTCCTCCTCCTCGCAACCAGTCACCTCATGTAGACAACGTGGACAATGCCACATCAACAATCGAAACAGGTGGCATTCGCCACATCATCAATGTAGACCAATAGCAGTGCCACGTTAACTAGAGGCAGCGCCACGTCCGCATGCCACTTCGACCAAAGGCAGCGCCACATATACCAGAGACAGCGCCACGCCAGCATGCCATGTCGACCAGAGGCAGCGCCACGTCGGCATGCCACGTAGACCAGAGGCAGTGCCACATATACCAGAGGCAGCGTCCCGTCAGCATGCCATGTAGACCAGAGGCAGCGCCACGTCAGCATGCCACGTAGACCAGAGGCAACGCCACGTCAACATAGTCTGGCGCACTGAGAAAGGGCCAGCATGCTACCTCCACCTCGCGCTGTCCACAACGCCTGAGCACAACCAGCATGTAGCCAGCGTCTAGCCAGAGTCAAGTCAACATCAAAGCAGCACAGCAAGACTGAATGCCTTGAATTCCTCGAGGCCAACCTTAAGTAGTAGCCAGCGAGGTTGTCTAGCCTCAGTGCATTTCCCCTCGGTCGTCCAGATTGACTCACAGTTGAAGGCCCGGATTGTACAGTTGCAGACTTCTCCCTTGGACCTGATGATGTCTGGGTAGGTGCGTACAAACAAGTGTGTGTACTTGACCTGCGGCCTGGGCTAGGTACCTTTGGACTTTGACTATTGGGTGGACCGACAATTGACCAACGTCAACTGTCACACGCCCAGACCCTGAATTCGTGAAGGGTCTTTTCTGCCCTGGTTCGGCCTGGGCTGAGGGCGGCCAAGTCGGCCTTCTGATGACCCTCGGTTCCATGAGACATATGGCATGGGTTATTGCATTCCTGCCATCCCAGTTTTCAAGTTCCATCGTAGAAATTACATCAATTCCCAGTTAACCCACGTTCATATGCAGGAACAATATCAGTAGCAGTGGGTAGAAGTTCTTTCTTACTAAACCTTCTAGCTTCAAATGGGGGTTGGGACTTGAACGTTACCTTGTACTGCTCCTCAGGTCGTCCTCTGCCACCCGTAGAGAAATAGCCATGCTCCAATATTTTCTCAACTTCATAGCCTCCATTCATAGAAGGTGGAATCATAGATGGCCTATTTGGAAAATCATCACTTTCTACATAAGGTAGAAGTTTAGATGCATGGAAGACAAGGTATGTCCTGAGGTGTGGAGGTATATCTACACGATAGGAAGGTCCACCTTCTCCTCCAATTACTTTGAGAACTTCCCAGGGCCCATAGCAGACAGGTAGCAATTTCCGAGACACGTTCTCTTCCAAGGAAAATTCTTTAAACTTAACCCAGATAAAGTCCCCTTCTTGGAATTGTGAAGGGCGACGATGTTTATTAGCTTGTTCAATCATTTGCAACTGGGCTTTTTTTATGTTTTCCTTTACCTTCTTAATGTCTTCTTAAGACCAAAGTGGCCTTCCGCATCATGACATTCCCCAATGATTAAGCTCTTGATTGGTTCTAGGTGAGGAACACACAATCGTTCTTCAGTTTTATCCAATAAGAAGAGTAAGCCATCGGTCATTCGATATTCTGGAAACAACTCAGGGTTTTTTCGTAGAGTTCCAATGATAGGACTCCAAATAGGATCACTCCCATATCCCTGGCGGATCTTTTCTTTCAGTTCATGTAGCGGACCTCGGGATGGCCTGTGAGACCAGCCCCTTGGCCTGTTCTCACAGGCCTGTGTTATATTTGGGGTAGGCCAGTCCAGGCCGGTACCTCTGTCGGTACCAGCCAGTCCAGTCCAGTCCCGTCAGTCCGCTGGGGTATACCCCAGCCATTGTCTGTTTTCATTCTCATTCATCACTTGCACATTTTGGAGTACGTGCGTTGGAGTCTTGCGTGGGGAGCTGCGCTGTGCCAACTTGCTCCCCCTTCTTCCTCCATCTCCATCTCTGTCACTAGCGGAGCACCACACCCGGTGGGTCCGCTACAGTTCATTTCCAATATCGAGATAAGAGACAATAGTTCCTAAGAAATTTGCACGTCTGGACAAAGCATCCGCAACTACGTTAGACTTGCCTTTGATGGTTTTCACCTCAAAGTCAAATGTGTCAAGGAATGCGGACCACCTAACCAACTTGTCGGAGAGTTTAGGTTGAGTTTTAATCCACTTCAATATAGAGTGGTCAGAGTACACAGTGAAATGCCTTCCCAACAAATAGTGCTTCCAAGTATCTGGTGCAGCTACTAAGGCATACAATTCCCTTTCATAAGTAGAGTTTGCTAGTTTTTCTGACGGAAGTCGTCTCGGCATAAACTCAGCAGGTCTATATCCTTTACCGTCATCCTGTTGTAGCACAACCCCAATCCCTGACTTGCGTTAGTCATGACAATGAAAGGAAGCGAAGGGTCAGCAAGTTTTAGGACAGGGTAGTGAGTCAGAGTATGTTTTAACTTTCAAAATGATGACTCACAGTCTTTGTCTCACAACCAAGGTTTTTCCTTTTTCAATAGTCTCTTCATAGGAGCGACTATCAAAGAGAAGTTTCTAACGAACTTCCTAGAATAGCTAGCTAGTCCTAAGAAAAACCTTAGTTCAGTTATAGTCTTAGGTTGTGGCCAATCTCTGATTGTTGTAATCTTCTTTTCTTCAGGCCTTAGTCCTTCCTCGTTTACTATATGCCCTAAGTACAAAACTTCAGACTTGACAAACTCAGACTTCTTCGGATTCAGTTTGAAGTTGCCCTCGTGCAACTTCTGCAAGACCATTCGTAGGTGTTTTTCATGATCCTCTAGTGTTTTGCTATACACTAGAATGTCATTGAGATAGACTATTACGAACTGGTCAAGCCATTGGCGGAATAACTCATTCATTGATCTTTGAAAGGTTGCAGGCGCATTGGTTGGACCGAAAGGCATAACCACGAACTCGTAGTGACCATACCTGGTTCGGAAAGCCGTCTTGTATTGATCCTCAGGAGCCACCTCAATCTGGTGATACCCTGATTTGAGATCAATCTTACTGAAGTATCTACACCCGTGCAACTGACCCAATAGATCGTCAATGCGCGAAAGAGGTTCCGCACGGAATTCAGCCCGCCATAATCAATACATAAACGAAGTTCACCTTCTTTTTTGGGCACGAATAAGACAAGCTCACCGTAAGGAGATGAGCTAGGGAGAATTCATCCTTTATCAGTAAGTTCTTGCAGCTGCTTCCGCAGTTCCTCAAGTTCCCTATGAGACATTCGGTAGATGAAACCATTGGGAATCTTGCCTTCGGGAATGATCTCGATGGTGTGCTTGATAGCACGCTCAGTAATTCCCGTCGGCTCAATCTGCAAGTCCTTGTACTCATCAAGAAGTTTTTTGATAGAAGGTGGATAGGATGAAGAACATCCACCAACTCGCTTAACAAGCACCATCATCACCTCCTTATCCAACTTCTTCTTTACTACCATTGATCGAAAGTTGCGTAACTCATACAACAGAAAGACAGAGTAGAGTCAGAGTCAGGCTTATGATACAACTTTATCGCACACAATTCGAACTTCCCGTCCTTGAGTTTGACAATTTTATCTTTGAACTTGACTTCTAAGTCGGCTTCCTCATGTCAATCCATACCCAAAATGAAGTTAAAGGGTAAATTATTCTCAATTAGGAAGGATATCTCGTGTAGAATCTTCTTACCTTCCTTTGTCCTTAAATAGCACTTGACACGATCGATATATTGAGGGACAGTGATCGTGCTCTTGTCAGCCAGTATAGACGTAATAGGTCTAGGTAAATCTTTTACCTTCATTTCCAGATGCAACTTACGAATTGCCTTCTTTGAGATACCAGACCACGTCGATCCCGGATCTAACAGGGCACCTACTCGCGTGTGCGCAATCTCAATGTCCGCGATCATCAACTCACCCTTAGACTTTGCTTTCTTTGCCCATGAACTTCGTCGTGCTATGAGTTCATTGTCGAGCTCATCAAGGGAATCGTCCAGCGAGACAGAACAAAGTAATGTGTCAGGGTGGTCTGGACGACGGGCAGAAGAAAAACCAGAAGAAGAACCATCCTCTGCCTTGAGAATCGAAGGGATAGAAGGGGTTATAGGCACCTTTCCTTTGTCTTGGACAAAACCCTTCGACTCAGTAGGAATTGATGCTACTCCTACTGGTTGCTCACTTTTGGGTTTCGGATAAGTGGGCACCAAGCTATCACATGCCCCACGGTGCCACACTTGAGGCACTGGCGGTTGTCCATTTTGAACTGCCACTCCTCTCGAGTCATATTCATTTTCTCCCAAGGTCTTCCAAACGAAATGCCGGGGTGCTCAGGAAACGAGCGTGGCCTCTTTTTCTTCTTCCACTGGTTCTGGCCTCCCTTGTTGGCCATGACAGCAATGACATCACCCTTCCCATACTCACTGTTGTTGTTACCTCCTCCTCCCTCAAACTCTTCCAGAGGTAACTTCTCTATAGTCTCATCATCAAATAGCACAAGCATATGGTCCTGGCGCTTTTGCCGCCAAAGGACCCGCTTGCCATAACCGCCTACCGGTCCCAACTTAACCACCGAAGCGTAAGACCCTTTTACCTGTGTGGTCACTTGCTCTCGTTGGAGAGCGAGATCGCGAAACTGCCGATAGTTATACTTTCCAGACTTTGATTCTGCCACGAGCTGTCCACGGATAGGCTCGGGTATAAAGGACCTGGTTGTCCTGAAGGTTCAGTCCAGGTACCTGTAACAGACGATCAACTTCACGCGATTGTGAATCAACTGAAGACCAACGCTTCTGGCCAACGGTGGTGAGCCCGTCGAAAGCTTTATCGGTTGTCGTCTTGTCGAGAAATCTCTCCTTAATCTTTTGGAGAAATTGTCTCAACGTCAGGATCTTTGCCCACTCACCTGTATCCTCAAATCCAGCGGTACTGGCTTTGGCCAACACCCATTCCTTGGCCACTCCTCCCAGACAAGACGTGGAGAAAGCGACCTGGCTCTCAGGCTCGACGGGCGAAGTACTACAATAAGTCTGTATCTCGGCGATCCACAACAACAAATTTTTTACCTTCTTGTTACTGTAGGTAAACGACAATTTCATCTTAACCTTTTCTCTCTTTTTCGACTTCTCCACTTCCTTAACCGGTTCTTCCTTCTTAGTCGGTTCTTCTTTCTTGTCGGTCGGTTCCTCGGACTCTTTTTTCGAGGGTCCGGGTTGTCCTCCCTCCGCATTGCATCTTTCATAAGTTTCTCCTGGAGCGGTTTCTTTTCTATTTCCCCCTTCTTCTCCTCCTCAGAGCCCACCTTGTCCTTTCCTTTCATTATTCTCATCATACTTTCTAATGAGGCAGTGTTAGAGTCTATCTTCTTTTCAAGATGAACAAGATAATCCATAATAGATTGCAATACGGACGACAGGTCAGTCTCAACTTCCTCGAAGTGAGATCGTTCCCTCATTTCCTCCAACATTTTCTCTTGCTGTTCTCTCTCTTCTTTCTTTCTTCTGAACTCTTCAATTCTTTTTTTTTCTTCCCTTAAGGTATTTTCTAATTGTCTGACATTTTCCTCCATTAGTTCCACAGACAGTTGGGGTTCCACTTTCTTTTTTTTTGTCTTCCCTTCTTCTTTTCCTTTTTGGTTTATTCTTTCCAGTTGCTCGACGACAAACCGGTCAAGAGCATTACGCCCTTATCTGATGAGTTCCTCGATCCTCCTGCCAGCTTCTATCATCTGAACAACAGTTTCAGCGGCATCTAGTTCACCCTCTGTTCCGTGAGCATACTGTTCAGCGTCCGGACCAGCAACGTGTATCTCACCGAGCAACTGACGAAGAAGGCCCTTTAAAGTTTGCCTCCTCGCGTCAATCTGACCACGCGTCTTAAGTTCCCCCCCTTTGACATCAGCGTAGACCATGAGAGGGATAGGGAATAAGAAAAGAGAAATGAATCGTGTCAGGATGGAGGCACGCTGACATTTTCAGAGAGAGTTTATCTTTCTGGGCGTGTATTTGCCGCACAATAAATAAAATTAAAGACAAAAATAAATTTCACAGCTCACGCACTTTTACAGCAAGAAATAATAAAAAAGAAACAAGTTTTCAATTATTTTTTAACTTTGCTGTCTATTCTTGTAATGACGTTCTACAGCTACAGGTACCGCAACGACGGCCAGTGCGATCAAGACAACAACGCACTTGTGAGTACACACAACAACCACAGACAATCAACAGGTAAGTAGAAAGTCAGCACAACAATACAATCGATGGTTAACTCCTACTATACCATCTACAAAAGCAATGCAACCCTCAACACTGTCTTTGCATGCCAGGTGTCACCCCCGGCATGCCAACACAACAACTAATTTGCCACGTCAACACATCAAGGACCTGGTAGGTCTACAAGGGGGGATGCCACGTCAGCAGCACAGACTTGTCACTCTTAACACTGGTGAACCATATCAGCACATCAATAACATGCCACATAAGCAATGTGCCTCATCAGCGGTACCAATTCCTCTCTCTATACCAGGGCCACGTCAACACATTGCAAATGAAGCTCTCGCTGGTATCTTGAAATCTTCAATGTAACTACGTCATCATCTTCAAGGGAAGGCTGCTCGCAGGTGCATTACTACAATGTCTAGACTTGTTGTATGACCGCGCGCATTAATAAACGCGTTTCGTTTTGCACATGCGGCAGCTCCCACTTACCTGGGTGCCACGTCAGCACCTGACAACAGTTAGCAAATCGCGATGAAGAAGTTTGCTCTAATGCCAAATTGTAATGAACCCAGTCTAATAGATACTCAGAAGTCGTCAATCTCCCGTAGTTTCAATATGTGCATGAAAGTCTCCAGATCATGAAGTGATATCTCAAACAGTAACTCATTATCAAAAGAGAAGAGAGTGGAGGGAGAATAGACAAAGTAGAGGAAGAGAGATCACACAGTAATAAATCCTCTAGATCCCTCTCCTTCTCCGGACCTCTTCCCACACCACATCCTTAATGATAATAAGTATACTATTGATCACACACAATAGTGCCAGTGACACTTTATCTCATGAAGACTCCAAAGACACAGCAGATTTCCAGTGACGACGTCAACCTCAGGTGAGTACCCGATTCCCTACATCCACAGATCCCGATCTTCTCCTCGCAACCAGTCACCTCATGTAGACAACGTGGACAATGCCACATCAACAATCGAAACAGGTGGCATTCGCCACATCATCAATGTAGACCAGTAGCACCGCCACGTAAACTAGGGGCAGCGCCACGTCAGCATGCCACGTCGACCAGAGGCAGCGCCACATATACTAGAGGCAGCGCCACGTCAGCATGCCATGTTGACCAGAGGCAGCTCCATATATATATACCAGAGGCAGCGCCACATATACAAGAGGCAGTGCCACGTCAGCATGCCACGTGGACCAGAGGCAGCGCCCATATACCAGAGGCAGCGCCACGTCAGCATGCCACGTAGACCAGAGGCAGTGCCACATATACCAGAGGCAGCGGCATGTCAGCATGCCACGTAGACCAGAGGCAGCGCCACAAGAGGTCAAAATATTTGTCGAAAGCAAGAATGACTAAGTCCTAACCAGATTTGACGGTGTCGCAAAAAAATTGGGAATTTTCCTAGCCTACCAGAGTGGCCCACGGTCACTTGCCCGACATGGCCAGATAATATTAAAATAATAAAAAAATAAAAAATAGTTTTTAATTAAAATTTTTATTTTAAATTTGGTTGCAATAACCCATGCCATATGTCTCATGGAACTGAGGGTCATCAGAAGGCCTACTTGGTCGCCCTCAGCCCAGGCCGAACCAGTGCAGAAAAGGCCCTTCACGAATTCAAGGCCTGGGCGTGTGACAATTGACTTTGGTCACCTGTCGGTCCACCCAACAGTCAAAGTCCAAAGGTACCTAGCCCAGGCCGCAGGTCAAGCACACACACTTGTTAGTATGCAGGTACCCAGACAACATCAGGTCCAAGGGAGAAGTCTGCAACTGTACAATCCGGGCCTTCAGTTGTGAGTCAATCTGGACGACTGAGGGGAAATGCACCGGGGCTAGAAAACCTCGCTGACTACTACTTAAGGCTGGCCTCGAGGAAGTCAAGGCATTCGGTCTTTCTATGCTGCTTTGACGCTGGCTCGACTTTGGCTAGACGCTGGCTACATGCTGGTTGTGCACAGGCACTGTGGGCGACAACACGAGGTGGAGGTAAAAACAGGTTTTGCGTTAGGAAAATTAGTTTTTGAATTTTTAAAATTCAAAGACGAAGTAAAAAAAAAAAACAAATTGTGCGATGTAGAACTCGAAAAGATCTACAATATCATATTTTTTTGTGTTTTTTTAGAATGCTTTAAAGTTAAAAAAAAAACTCATGAAACTTGCAGCCGCACCCAACCACGGCTTGAGCCGCGACGACCGTGATCACGGCCGCCCGTCGAGTTTGACCCCCCGGCGGCCGTGGCTGCAGG